TAGGAAAGCGATTAAGGAGTATTCGTTGACTTGTAGAGATTTCTCTACCGCCGAGATTACTTCATGGAGTGCCGTTTCCGTGGATTTTCCTTTTCGGTAGGCATGTTGAGCGCCTGACAGCCACTGAGGATTTATAGTTGTCCTCAGCTGCAGCCCTACTAGTCTCTCAAAGGTTTTGAGAAGAAAGGACGATAGACTTATTGGTCTGAAGTCTTTTGGGGTTGTATGTGAGGGTTTCCCTGCTTTGGGGATAAAGACTATTTTAGCCTTTAACCAAGCTCGGGGGATTTTTCCCACTGTCAGTATCTTCCTGAAGATACTTTGCAGCCAGTTGATGGCCATATCCCCGGCTTTTTGCAACTGAGCCGGAATGACTTGGTCCGGGCCAGGCGATTTGTAGGATTTGAAGCTGTTTACTGCCCAGCTAATATTCCGCTTTGTGAGGATGTGCCCCATCGAGGTTTCCGGGCCTTCACTTGGGGTGTCTGCCGGCTCGATGGTCGTACACCCAGGAAAATGAGTATCGAGTAGAATGTGTAGGGAGTCCTCACTAGAGTTAGTCCACGTACCATCCGTTCTCTTGAGGTATCCCACCGAGGGGGATGTTTTTGACAGGATCTTGCGTAGCCTTGAGGCTTCTGACATGTCCTCAATTTGGGAGCAAAATTTGTGCCAAGAGGCCCTTTTTGCTCTCCTTGTTTCTTTTTTGTATAGGGTTAGCTTACTTTTGTAATTTTCCCAGTGCGCTTCCTCGCTGCTGCTTTTGGCTCTGTTAAAGAGAGTCCTGCAGTCTTTCAGAGGGTATCTATATGTTTAGACCACCAGGGGGGTTTCTTTTTCCCTCTTGGTTTGGTTGGGGTGCAAGCTGCCATGAAGGCCTTGTTGCAAGCTTCCGTGAAATTGTCCACAAGACGATTGAGATCGTCTTGAGTGTCAGGGCATTTTGAGGCTAGGGGGGAGTAATTCCTCCATTTTTGCACTATACATATCCCAGTTGGCTTTCCTTGGGTTAGTATAGCTAGTGGGTATGGTGCTTTTCAAGCGATAGGATTGTCTCGATGTACCTGTGGTCGGAGAAGGAGTGGTCCTCTAGGACTCTCCAACTTTTCATTATGTCTGACAGTTTGTGAGACAATAGAGTGAGGTCAATAACCTCTTGACGGTTTTTTATGATAAAAGTGGGGTCATTACCCCGATTACCGATAATTAGGTTGGAGTTCAGGATGAAGCTGAAAAGTGACTCACCCCTTGCATTTGTATCCGAGCTCCCCCATTGGGTGTGATGAGCGTTGGCATCGCAGCCTATTAGTAGGCTTGTATCCGACCTCTCGCTGTCTCTGGCAATCTTGCGAACGAGGTCACTGGGAGGATCGCTTTCCTCGTGAGCCATGTAGGACGACACCAGGTTTAGGCGTGTCCCTTGTAGCTCTAGGCTAGCTGCCGTATTGTCGCCATTGCTAAAATTGTGGAGCAGAAAGATATTTAGGTGCTTCCTTGCTAATATGCAGGTTCTAATTTTACCTTCAGTTTGGGCTACAATCAGCTTGTAGTCCTTCGTCACTAATCCACAGACCCTGCCTCCTACCACCCAGGGCTCTTGGATTAGGACTATATCCCCCTCCGCTTGCGACCAAGCGGAGTATCAGGGCAGCAGATGCTGCTTTACAGTGGTGGAGATTTATCTGCAGAAGCCTCAGAGACTTCATTAGAAACGTTCTCCACCACTGTTATGTCGGCGTCAGAGTCGTCGAGTATCTCGTCCCGACACAACGCCTCAAAATCGAGCATCAGCTCCGTCTCTGAGGAGTAGCTCTCCAGGGCCGGCTCCGGCTCCGGGTCTACTTCGGGTGCCTCGATCTCCAAGGCAACGTCCTGCTCAACTGGGTTGTTGACAGAACGCGCCTCGGTCGCTGCGTCCGACTTGTAGACCTTCATGGTCACCGAGCTGAACCCGAAGTTAAGCTCTCCTCTGGCTGCCTCGATCGGGGCTAGCGATTCCTTATTTAGGACTACCACTGCCTGATTTGTGGGGCCCTTTGATGCCTCCACTTTGACCACCCTCCAGTCTGAGGTTGGCAGTGTGGGGTTGCATCTTTGCAGCATCGTGAGGATCCGCTCGGGCTCCTTGAAAGTGGCCGGTACCCATATACGGGCCCTTGGCCTACTGGGCACCTCGCTCCAGTCCACAGCGACGAGCTTTGCCCCGGCGTAGACCTCACCGATTTGCGCCACCGCAGCTTTGTATAGCTTTACGGAGCGCTCATCCTCGCAGGCTACTACCTTGATGCTCCCCTGGAACCATCCCATGTCTTTGCAGACTGGGGGTGGCCCGGGATCCTTTTCAAGAAGCTCGAAGCAGCGGTCGGCCAGTGCCGCTTCCACCCACTTCCACTGGCTTCTGGCTTCTATCAGCGTCCTCTCCTTGGCAATCTGCGCGAAGGATACATTTGGTGCGACCCTGGATCGCTTCGCGACAGGTCCGGGCGTCTCTTGAGAGCGCTGCCTCTTCGGTTGGGCGGCCACCTTCTGTGGCTCCATACTGAAGTTGGGCAACACCACCGAGGCCCATTCCACTTTCTTCAGCCAGTCTGCTGTTGGACTGACTTCTTGGCTTGTGTTCTGCCGACGGAGTATGTGCCCAGCACTCCTCTTTTCGGCATAACTAAATCTTTTGGTTTGGACGCTGGTTGATGGCAAGCCATCACCCGCCGCTTCACCAGAAGGTTGAGCAGCCGCAATATTGCTTAGCTGCCCTACCATGGTATCAGTTTTGGGTGTTGTCTTTCCACCCATCCCAGGTTTGGGATGGGACCCACCCGGATTCATACCCGCGTCCTTCACCGTGCAGGTCTTTCCTGCGTCTGAGCGGATCGGGCCAGGCCTTTGGGCCGCTGCCTTCTCCCGCTTGGGATTTCTCCCTGCAGGCATTTGGGGAGTGCCTCTCTCGTTTTTGTTTTTGTTTATTTCGTTTTTATCCATGTAGTTCCCACGAGCTGCAGAGAAGGGGAACGGTCCACCCGGCAGAGCTCTGCGTTACCCGGGTAAGGCATAATTAGAACAGGGGGCTGCCAAGTCCCTGAGCTCTCCGTTCACGACTGGGCTAGTTTTTATACCGGGCCCCCAGCCAGGCTGACTCTTGGCACGGGTCGAGTGACACCTTAGTCCGGCCCGGTGTGAGGTGAGTGTTGGGGCTGGGATGTGGGTAGGTGTTGTGTAGGGATGGGATTGTGTGAGCTACTTAATGAGAGGCGGCACCACAAGCGCATCGTCAGTGTTGCTGCGTCGCGAACACCCGCTGGCTGTCCGGGACTGCTTATTTCGGTACTCTCCCTCAGAGCCAACTTAGTTGATACTCTTTAGGATGCCCGCTTATTCGCAGCTGACCTACCCACTAGGGTAGGCCGTTCAGCCCCTCCGCCGTGGCCTCAGCTAGGCCCCCTCTGAGCCACCTCAAAGCCCAATAGGATCATCGGAAAGGCTAGCCTAAAAGAGAATGAAAGGAAATAAAATAAATGTACACATCTAGTAGAACATTTTCCAGAGCTTTAGCGAATCTAATTTTCAAGATAATTTTAGCTTAGGAGATATGAGCAGAGATAACATCCTTTATTTTTATATATTGTATTTATTTCCCACCCCCACCCACTCTGCCCATTCCACAGTTATATTGCGGCAGGTCAGAACAGGTCGCTACATCACATCAGCCCTCAAAACAAAACGAAAAACCAATTCAAGCGGCCAAAAATTGTAGAGCCCACACACAAGCACAGTATGTGTGAATACATGGCACACACACATTTACGTAACCTGGAAACGAAACTCAAAACAAACTCAAAACGGTTTCGGAAAATAAAAATTGATACAAAATTTTGTCGTGTCTGTTTACACACATCCATTTGCAATTCTCAAGCTTGCTTTCGCTTCCCGACATGAGTCATACATGCCGAACGGCCCAGCTCCCGACCCGAATGGCCTGGCTCCCGACCCGAATGCCTCAGCCTCACAGAGCCGAAGGCCCTGGGAGCTGGGACAGAAAACTCAGCTGCGACACGTTCGTTGTATGAACTGGCACATCTATATACTGTATGGTTAGTGGTTTTACTTATATTTTGGAATTTAAAAACAATTTTATTGTTTTAAATTCACCTAAAGATATTGAATTTATTTCCTTCTAAAAAATATTAAATATTTGTATGCAACCACACATGGATGTGTTTGTACAACCCCGAAGCTTTAGTTAAGTTGTGCGGCGTAGACCGAGAGTGTTAATGGTCTCCAATATAACAGCCTCGTTAATGTATAAATCCTGATTCCTGTTTTTGTGCGATTGCTTTTTTTTTTTGCTCTGCCCTGGCTCGATTAATAAATCGTTGCTTAATTTAGACTGCGGTAGCCACAGGCGCTGTCGACGCACTGGAGGCGGTTGCTGTTCCTCATCGATTGTGGAAGTTTCTTGATGGGCATTATTCATGAAAAGACCGTGGTAGGCTATGGCTGCATCGATGGCATTTCGCTCAAAATGGGACACCCTAGAGAGCACATTAGTGGAGTACAATCGTGTCAACTCCAGATTTTGGTTCACTGCATTTTCGCACTGAGCTTCGCACAGGATTTTGGTGGTCCATTCTTGCAGCTCCTCATGTGACATACTATTGACTTTATAAATACATTAATAATCAACATTAGCACTATAAATATTTTTGTTTTAATCAAACATACGCTGAAAATTTCCCTTTATTATTTTTTTAAATGGCATAGTCGTGTAGTGTGGTATAGTTTTGTTGCAGTTTTAGCTGTATTGGGGCCGGTAGCAGACACTGATTTTTTTTATTTATTCTATCACAAGCAGGGAGCAGGGCGACACACTTCCTTTATTTTTTAATGAAATTCATTATCAAAAAAAAACAGTGTAGTGCTAAATAGGGATGATATGATTAATATAGAGACCAATATATCGATATATATTTTTTTGACTGACAATATATTTCTAGGTGATATTTTTTTTATCGACTATCAGGCAGGCTCAGGTTTTCACATTCTCAACAAATTTCCGATTAAAGCCTAGTACTCAGATCGAAAAACTGTTTGCTAGCAAACAGATGTCATATATTTTTCGAGCGACCAGTGGTGTGACCAGAAGTGTGCACTGCATTCCGAACGGTTACACTGCTCAGACCGCTGCTTGGTTTTGTTTAAAGTTAACAAAATGCACTTCTTCGGCTGGGGCCGCTCTTCCCCAGGCATATCCTGGGCTCCCAAATATTTTATTGGCAAGGTAATGTGTCTGACTATCAGCAGCAGCAGATGGCGACGCCTCCCGTGCCGACCACCGTGAAAACAAACTGTTTTGAAAGCAATATTTGTTTTATATTTATGAAAATTAATATAAATATAGTATTATAATATCCATAAAATTGTCCTTTATATTATGCTCCATTAATTAGATTCTATTTGTCTTCATTATTAAAATAGTTCATTTGGTTTTTATTATCATATTGCAATGTTTGCTTCGTGTTTGCTGTCAAAAGATATCAAACTGATATCTTTTTCGAGGTTGGTCGAAACATACCAAAAAAAAACAAGCAAATACTTCTGATACTTTTCCAGTATATACCGACCTTTTTGTTTTTCGATCTGAGTACTGCCACTAACCATACAGTATATATACTGTATGGTTAGTGGTACTGCCTTCCGTACAGAGCCTAGAAAACAGTTTTTGCCGTAAAAAAATTTCTTATCGGTTTCATACGAATATCAACCCTGATTCTGTTCGCGAGGTGTTTTTTTCGATCTGAGTACTAGGCTTTACAAAAAGCCATAAAATGGCGGTAAAATATACTTAGGTATGGACAGAAAAGTTTTCTGCGATTTAACCGCGTACAGGTACTGGACTATCGATAGGAAAAATATATAAATATCACAATAAATATCTGTGTAATGTTTACTTTCCAAAAAGTAAAAAAAATGAATAAAATTCGACATTTTAATTTTTCATTTCATTCAATCGACCACTGTGCGCTCGCACAAAAGACGAAAATCTGTGGCGTCCACAGTATCGTTGAGGATCGACTCTCAACGTTCCCTCTCGGACGTTTTCTTCGTATCTTCAAAATTGTGGATGCTACATATTTTCGTCCTTTGTGGTGGTTTAAGAGGTCGTTGCAAAATTTGGAAACAAACTTGATTCAGTGTGATATCACATGAGTCTGGAAACAAAATTTGCTTGCTCTAACTCTTATAGTCTCTGAGAACTAGTCGTCAGAAAAGACGGACGGACGGACAGACAGACAGACATAGACTCGGCTATTGATGCTGATCAAAAATATATATACTTTATGGGATCGGAAACGTTTCCTTCTTTTACCTTGTCCGGACGGTTAGTTATATCATAAATTGTTCTAAGCCTAATTTTATAAGTTTCCGCTAACTCTTTTGCTATTTTTTTACTTCTTAAATGATAATAAACTAATTAAATCAAATTATCTTCAGTGCGTTTGCCAGGCATTGCAAAAATCATCAATATAAAAAAAACGTGACTTAAACCAAAGAAATTTTTAGCAAGAATGAGACCAAGGAAGACAAGAAAAGAGCCCGCGATCGGTCGTTTTCGAATTTTCTGACCCGTTAGTTTTTCTGTGGTATTCTTTCAAGCAGTGTTTGCATTTTGCAAAGAATTTATTGACAGCGTCAAAAATGCCGTTTTTTGGTTTTTTTCATTTCTTTTACAATTTGCTTGGAATTTCGCAATTTGTTTTTGTCCTACCTATAGCTTATACATATATATAACATAATTAATAAACAAAATTTTCCCAAATAATGCCTGTATTTATATTTTGAATGCTAAAGTTGAAATTGTCTGACTTATTTCATTTTGCAAACAATTAGTTGACATACTGTACTTTATGGGATCGTCGAGTACGGGTATTCAATTTCTTGCGTTAGGCTTTACCATTTTTTTTAAGGTTAGGTTTTTTTTAGGAATTTAAAATAATGGTACATATTTTTTAATTTCCGTACATGTGTGAATGTATGTAAATATGTACATATTTACATACATATGTAAGTATGTAACTTATATATGCTACGCCTAGTAGTGAAGGCCTTAAAAACATTTTACAAATAATGCATTTTTATTTATTTTGTATTAAAGTTTTGAATTTAAAAACTCAAAAAAGGTCGGAAAAATTTGATTCCGGTTTCATATATTATTCGTATATGGTGAACTAAGTAGGTATGTATTGAGCATAGGCCTTCAGCTCACTATATACCGTTATATATTTTTCGGTACGTTGAAAATTCAAAATTTATAGGAATTTTTGGTCACTAAAGTGAAGTAAGTATGTACATATGTACAATGCATTAAATCCCCGAAGCTCCTTTCTGGTTTTTTCATAACTATGATTCGATTAATTAAATTAATTAATAAAACCAATGAAATGGTAACAGTTTTAGGGATAATCTAATCTTTGATCGAATCAACTTTAGCTGTGATAAAATTGAGAGTTCAAATGTAAGTAATGAGGTGATCAACCAAAAATATAAACGTGCTACAGGCATGGCCCTTACACATGCATATGTACATATATGTACATATTAACAATCAAAAGTTCTGCTGTCTCTTATACTCAACTTAACTCAACGCTCGGTAACGCTCGTTTCAGTTCGGCACGTGTTTGAGCAGAACTCGGTGCCGGCCAACAACAAAGTCACAACAGCGGAAGCTGATTCATGCGACTCTTGGGCACTCACTCTCGCATGCGCTGTCTCTCAGGGCTATTTCTCTCAAAGCACAGCTCTCATAGATATATATATATATATATATATATGTATGTACACACAGTATGTGAGAGACAACTTGCCGTATTGTTTCTGTCAACGTGTGTGTGGTGCGCTTGTGTGTCCCACGCAGCCCACAATCTCTTGAGACTGGAAGCGTTTGTCTCTCTTCTCCCTGCTCCACCGCAAGTGCCTACAGTTTTTGCTTGCTCGCTCGCTCGTTCACTTTTCGTTCGTTCGGACTCTCGCTGCATCGTCGGTCGGGCCGTCGTATGCTCAATGAGCGCTTTTGCTGTTATTATTTTTGCCTGAAATACATTTTGAGCTAATTTTGCATTGTTAGTTTTGTTTATACCGTCGCTTGTTGGTGTCATTTCGTAAGCGAAAGCTCGTTCAGCACGTATTTAAAAGAATTAAAATTAAAAACAGGCGGAACGCCACGGTACATACATATACACTTACATATACATTCATACATATGTCATTGCAAATTGAATAAAAATGGTCTTCTCTTCAGTGCGTGAAGTGCGAGTTCAATTACCACCCAACTTCAACGGGCTCGTTCGTCTATTGTTGGTCGTTTTTGATTCGGGCCGGACCGGGAATAGAATAACGCGTGGACGAGTACCGTACCGACCAACTTTCCAGCCGTCAGTTAAGCAGAGAAAAGCAAAAGCTTAAGAAAATCATGTCTATATTTCCCTGATAAATTGCATACAAAATACTCAAAGCAAAGCGTGTGCTGACTTGTGGACCGGCGGAGTGCCTTACAGGCAAACGAAATTTTGTTAAATTCGCAACACATCAGATAGGGCATAACGGGGACTGCGACGGCGACGTCGGCGCGAGAAAAGCTAATTATAATTGCATTGCATATGTCTGGTGGCATGTTCATGTGTCCGGTCCGTCTATGTTCGTGTGACCGTGTTTTAAGCCGTATTTTTTTTGGTATTGTGGCCACTGTGCCCGCGCGCCTTTTTACACACTCATTTTTTTTCTTCTATTTTTTCCGTGTATTTATATGACAGTTTTGAAAGAAGTGCAAAAGGTTGCAAGTCGGCTGCTGCCCAACTGTTGCACTCATCGCTTTTGCAATCCCAACAAAACCGAAACTAAACCAAACAAAGTCTCCCCCAAATTGTGCGCTTCTTTTGGCGATGTGCTTTTGCTGAATAATCATCTTATCAAATACATACATATGTATGTATGTATGTAGCTGCTTTTACCCTTCGATTCCTTCTATTCCATTCAAGAACACAGACATTACACGAGGTTCGTGGAGAAGTAAATACATATGTATGCTTGTTTCTATGTAAGTACTCAGTAGTAGTCAAGCTTCAAACGGGAAAGCAACAGACAGCGACAACTGTTATGTATGTGAGACTACTACGATGACACCCACACCACAAGCAACACAAAATACATAGCACAAGATACAAGATACATGCATACATATGTATATATGTATGCAAATGAATTCACGTGAACCTATACGTATTCAAAAGCGTGCAAACATATATGTATAAGTAAAAAAAAAGTGCGTTGAAACATTTTCAACTTTCGGAGATTTGTGTTGCCTTATCACTGGAATCAACAGTAACAGCCACAGAAGTTTTTCGTTGACATACAGTAAATGATTTTATATAGATACATACATATGTACCTATGTATGTACGTTACTGTGAAAAAAAAAAATGGCCATGAAAACATGAACATTTAATTTTATGTATACATACATATGTACATGATTTCCAAACTGCATGAAATTTCAAAAGAAACAAATCATATCAAAACGATAACAAGCGTCTTCAGAGACAGTCGAGACTTTTAACATACTGGTGATCTTGGCATGGCATTCACCCTATCCAATACTCAGTCCCAGTAACGTAACAGATCCAATCGCAATCGTAATCGTAGTCTCAGTTTTTGTCTCTATCTTGCAACAAGTGTTATCATATGAACAACAAGGACACCGAAAACTAATAAATTAACTGAATGGCAGGGAGTCCATCCAAAACTAGAAAATTTCCCTCAAGAAGGTTAAAAAGATTTTAAGTCATTTTCACTACTACAGTGCGGTACGGTATTGCTTTCCCCGGCGGCAAAGCGTCAATGCCAACGACAGCGCTTTGATTATATGTATGTATGTATTGTTTTT